AGTCATCAGCGCTCAATGGCATTAAGGTGGCGCCGTCGGCACCGACGGTTAGTCATCTACTCTTTGCAGATGATAGCCTATTGTTTTTCATGACGGACGGGGAGAGTGCTCGGGAGGTGAAGGAGGTGTTAAATATTTATTGTCAAGCTTTAGGCCAGCAAATAAACATGAAAAAATCATCAATACATTTTGCTAAGGGGTGCAGCCAGAGCTTGAAGGGAGAAATCAAGAATATTCTTGAGGTGCACACTGAAGCTCTCAAGGAAAAATATTTGGGTATGGCTTCTGATGTGGGTTCAGCTATAAATGGTGCTTTCAAATTTCTTAAAGATCGGGTCTAGAGTAGGGTTCAAGGATGGATGGAGCAGTGCTTGTTAGCCGGTGGAAAGGAGGTTCTTATCAAATTAGTAGCATAAGCTATTCCAACCTTCTCTATGTCTTGCTTCAAGCTGCCTCGTGGTTTGTGCCAACATTTAGATGGCTTACTACGTAAATTTTGGTGGGGTTCCAGAGATGGAAAGAGGAAGACCTGTTGGGTGGCGTGGGAAGACATGACAAAGCCAAAATACTTTGGTGGTCTTGGCTTTCGGGATATGGAGATGTTTAACCTGACACTCTTAGCGAAACAAGCATGGCGATTGCTACAGGATGAAAATTCCTTGAGTGCATGGGTTCTAAAAGTTGTTTACTTTCCGGACACTGGTTTCCTAGATGCAGTGACCGGCCAGTCTCCTTCAAGGATTTGGTGGTCCATTATGGAAGACAGGGAGGTACTCAAGGGCGGCCTTATAAGGCAGATTGGGACTGGTGAATCAACCAATATTTTGTCGATGGACTGGCTGCCGACGTCGGGTTTGAGGAGGCCGGTGCCTTGCACTCGGCCGAACCCCCCTCAATGGGTTAGCGAACTTATTGATCAAACGACATCAAGCTAGGACCGAGGGAAGCTGCTAGAATTTTTCATGCTGGCTGGTGTAGAGGCAATCACAAGTATTCCTCTAAGCACACGACGTCAAGAGGATTTCTGGGCATGGCATTTCGAGACACGTGGTTTTTTCTCTGTCCGATCAGCATATAGAATGCTTATAAACCGCAAGTTTCTAGTAGGGAATGCAGGCGCCTTGGACAGACAAGCAGCTAAGAAGGAGTGGTCTACCTTGTGGGGGATCAGGGTACCATCTAAAGTGTGTGTGTTCCTATGGAGGCTTGCCAGATGTTCTCTCCCTTCAACCCATCACAGGAACATGGCAGAGATAGCGCTTGCCAGATATGTGGAGCGGAGGACTCGTGGAGACACTCATTACTTGAGTGCAACATGGCATGCTGTGTTTGGGCTTTGGAGAAAGAGGAGATTACTGAGCACCTTTCTCAAATTGAGGAACAAGATGCGAAGGGTTGGCTGGCAGTGATGATGAAGTCCTTGCGACATGAGGAACTAATCCGGGTGACTGTTACCTTGTGGACAATTTGGTATGCAAGGAGAAGCTATTCATGAAAATATCTATCAAAGCCCGCTCTCGACGCACCAGTTTGTTTCTAATTTTGTGGCAAACCTTGAGCTCGTGAAGCCTCAAGGGAGGGCACATGGAAGCCCGGTTCGGTGGATCCCACCACCGATCGCCTTGATGAAGATCAATGTTGACACTGTTTTTGGCTAAAAGTTTGGGAGTTGTCGCTGCTGCAGCGGTCGCAAGAAACGTTGTGGGAAAGTTCCTGGGTGCCTCGGGCGTGGTGATGGAGGGCCTTTTGGAACCTAACACGGTGGAAGCAATTGCTTGCAAAGAGGGCCTAGCGCTTGCTAGTGATCTGGTCCTTCGAGATTTTAGACTATCGTGTGACAATGCAGAAGTTATCAGGAGCATTTGAGAAGGGACCATGGGCTCTTATGGACATATTGTTCAGGAAATTAGAGCTAGATCACGCGATTTCAATTTCGTTGATTTTGTTCATGAAGGAAGGCAATCAAATTTTGATGCCCATGTCTTAGCTACAAGTAGTGTCTACGATGAACTTGGTAGACACGTTTGGTTCAATAAAGGTTTTTGATTCTCCTAAAAAAACTGTTGTTTGGTGGGGGTAGCCGTAACAAATTTTGCCATGCCTATATGAGTATGACATGTAGAGTCCAAGTGTCATTAACTTTTATTGAAACATAGCCACATGGAATCTTGTTTATTTATAGATAAAACCACAAATAAGATCATGGTTAAAGTGAATTGAAAATCAGATATATAATTTTCTAGATATTTTCATTAGAAGTTCGATAATCCATAATCTCGAACCACGTGCAAGCATTAATTGAGTGACATCATCTTATCTTCTCAACTACATAGTTGAGAATCTCAAGAGCTCGACACTCAATTTTCTCAAATGGCTCATGAATTTATGTAACCTCCATCATTTGCCTCCTCCTCTTCTTACCTGAGGTCTATCAGCCACGCCGCTACTTAGACCCTGGCCCGCCGCAACAATCTTCTTGCCCTTCTTGCCATCATCCGTGTTGTCGTCGTTGTCACCATCATTAAGCCTGTTCATTTTGGTTGAATTGGCTTATAAGCCATGGCTGAAAGTACTGCTGGCTGATTTGGTGTGAGAGAAAAATAATGTTCAAGCCGTGGATTATAAGTCAGATACGAGCAAATAAGCCGAAACGAACAGGCTGATTATTATGAACAAAGTCGTTGGCAAAATAGCGAATCCAATGCTTACAATGGCAAACAAGGTGAAGCCTAGAGTTTGAGCCGACAGACCGACAAATTCCTTTGCACCAAGCGAGGACGGCTCATTATTGTCGGCAGCAAATCGGCAGGCACTCGTAGCAATTCAAGCGCACTTTGCCAGATGCGCGGGTGGTTTTAGGGGTTGTTTAGTTGGTGTCTAAGTTCGCTGGTGACAAGTACTCCCTCCGTTCCAAATTATAAAACGTTTTGGCTTTTCTAGATACATTGTTTTTAGTATGTATCTAGACATAATGTATATTCAAGTGCATAGCAAAAGCTACGTATCTAGAAAAGCCAAAACATCTTATAATTTAGGACGGATTGAGTAATAACTTTAAACACACGCTCGTATCAAGTTTAGCAAAAGAGAATAACTATACGATACGTGTGGGACATGATACTAAAAAGTTTGACGTGACATAATTTTTTGATAGTGAACCAAAAATAGTTGGCATAAAAAAATACTATGCTTGAATCAATGAAATAGTCCCTGGCCGCCGCGAGAAACGTAACGCAAAGGGGCAGGTGACGGCGCGGGACCGCGGGCGCACGGGTAGTTGCGGCGGTGTGCTTGGCCTGATATGATGCCTGATGGCCGGCCGACGTGCGGTGCAGCCGTGAGATGCCACGTAGGCAGCCAGGGAAGGGACGCTACACGTACGGCAAGATGCCACGTAGGCAGCCAGGGAAGGGACGCTACACGTACGGCAAGATGCCACGTAGTCAGCCAAAAGGATAGCAGATAGGGAAGACTGACTCACGGGTCTGGCCTCTTCTCTTCTCCCGTTCTCCGAGACTGCTGTTCCAAGGTATGTATGGGGGCCATGTCTGAATCCAGAGTTGCTACTGCCCATCACGCACCGCTCCAAGATTCCTACCAGCATTTGCATGCATCTCGTTGCACAAGTGACGAGTCTAGAGAAGATCCCTGCCATGAGAGCTAGTAGTGCCATACAGGCGTGATTGATTGGCCGTGTACGCTCTAGCCAGGCCTATGAGATGCATGTTTGTTTGTACGATACTCTGGCCTGACTTTGCTCATGCAAAAAAAAAAAAAAAAAAAAACACTTCAGCCTGGCTCCCGAAATTTGCGCATTTTGAATGTTTCTCACTCAGATAATAATAATGTTTGTGCATAATTAGTGTATATTAATTGATATTAATATATTTTAGATAATATCAAGGAATCATATAATAAATATCATGATTATGTTATTAACCTCAAGCAATAATAATTTATCTTATGCAATATATTCTCATGAAAACATCATCTTAACTCGACTAAGCTAGCTAGATGTAAGCAACCAAACATGATGGTGTTGCATGCACTCAGCCAAGGGTATAGCTCCTCAACATGAGACAAACTGGACCGATAAGCAAACCAATCATTTCGGTCACATTTGGATCTAGGGATTTTAGGAATCTGGATAGAAAATCTTAGAATCGTAAAATCTCATCCAAACAAACTATATTCTAAGAGATTTTAACATATGAATACAGAATTCAATAAAACACATTAGTTTTTTTTTTATCCAAATTCTTAAAATTCATTTCAAATCAATCGGAGCCTTCATGTGCTAGTACAGAGAAGTCACTGGGTGATGACCCGATGAGGAGCGAAGCAACAACGCTCGACAGGGAGGCTCAGCGGTGCTGCTGTCACTGCACGCTCTGAGATCTCGGGGACCTTTGGACGCACTTGTCAGTGTGCTGCTGCAGGAATTGTCGACGTACACCTCCGACAGCATTCTTCAATAGCACTAATTAACTAACTAATCCTCCTTCCCGGAATCTGCGATGCTCCATCTCTCATATTTTGCCGTTTATGGCAAAAACTTACACACTAATCTGATATGCAAATCTCACCCTGCTGCAAACACAGACAGGATTCCTGCTCTGCTCGCACTTTAATTAATATAGTACACTAGCAGTGCAGGTGCAGCACGAGCTTCAGTCAGGCCTTCAGCTCAGCCAGTAGTGATGAGCGAGTGACAGATCCAGATTTGCTTCACCAGATCTTCCGGATGCCATCCTTCGTTGTCACTTTCCCTGAATAACCAAGCTTCTCAACGCGACAAAACTGAACAGATCCAGAGATATTCAGCGAGGGGACCCCCCAAGCCCCAGCCCCCAAGGGGGAAGGAGAAAAAAAAATTCTCCTTTCATGGCGAGATCTGCAAACACAGACAGGATTCCTGATCTGCTCGCACTTTAATTAATACAGTAAATAATTGTTCGAGCTAATTAGGTTCAAAAGTGCAGGTGCAACACGAGCTTCAGTCAGGCCTTCAGCTCAGCCAGTGATGAGCGAGTGACAGATCGCTTCACCAGATCTTCCGGATGCCATCCTTCGTTGTCACTTTCCCTGAATAGCCAAAACTGAACAGATCCAGAGATATTCAGCGAGAGATCTGCAAGTTGCAGCAGCAGAGATCCAGAAAGCGTTCGTGCCGCATCTATCTAGACTACTCCACGTCAGGAGGCAGCATGGCGCGGTAGAGTTCGGGAGAGGCTGACCGCTGACGGACGGGCAGTGGCGGAACCGACGCGCGCGCGTCGTCCTCACTCCTCACCTCACGTGTAGCGGTGTCATCGCCACCACCGCTCCCAGCCACACAACCGGACGACCCGAGCAGATTGCTTTGCTATTCTTCGTCGTCTCAAAATTAGGAGTCGGATCCACGAAGGGAGGAGAGGGAAGGAGGGGGAGAAAAAGGCTCCTTTTTTATGCTGTCACTGCGGATGCAGGTGAGACGCTTTCCCAGGCTCTCCCACCGTCGTAGACGTCGCCTTCGCCCTCCACACCCACACCCATCCGCTCCCCTCGCGTCGCCTTCTATCTTCGAGGGAGAGCCGTAGAGCCTTTGCCGCTCCCTCACTCGCTCTGTTTTCTTTGTCTCCGCCCTCGCTGATTCCCTGCCCGTTTGTCGCCATTGCCACCGGTCGTGCCGTGTCAAGGTACGTACCCTATGCGCCCTTCTCTGTTAACTGACCTGATTGGTTTCTTCTTCTTCTCGCTGTGCTTGATCTGTTCCCACGGGCTCCACTGAGCTGCTGCTGGTTACTCGTTCTGGATGCGTGGGTCTTCTTGGCCAGGTCAATACTAGCACGGGAAGGCGTAGTGGCATAGGAATGTTGGCAAACTCTTGGTTCCACGAATCTGGGCCAACTTTTTTTTCGAAGGAATCCGATTCCTGAATCTTGCACGCCTTGTTTAAATTACTGGAGAAATGGAAGAAAAATGAAATAAAATGAAAGGGATAGAATAGAAGAAGGTATATATGTACGGGATCTTGTATAACCATTCGTCATGGAATCTTGATTGATCTTTTGGGGGCGAGAAGCTATGGGATTCATTCTTCAGTCGTGCCAATCTTACATCTTTGATCTTTCGCACGCGTACACAACACATTCAGCTTCCTGATTTCTCTCTTCTTCCCTGCTTGAAGGACATGGCGAACTCGGGGCCAACGTCGGGAAAGAAATCTCTGAATTCGGTGACTTTGCTGTTCAAATTGCCGTATTACACACAATGGGGGCAGTCTCTTCTGATTGCTGGGTCGGAACCAGCACTCGGGTCGTGGAATGTCAAGCAAGGAGTGTCTCTGAGTCCTGTCCATCAGGACAGTGAGCTAATCTGGTGTGGGAGCGTGTCTGTTGTTGCTGGCTTTACCTGTGAGTACAAATACTATGTGGTGGATGATAGCAAGAATGTTTTGAGATGGGAGGCTGGGGAGAAAAGGAAACTAGTCCTGCCGGAGGGCGTTAAGGAAGGAGATGTAATTGAAATCCGCGACTGGTGGCAGGTACTAATCATTTTTATCAGTAGCGTCTGTATATTTATGTTCTCTACAGTAAGCAGTGAAGTAGCAGCAATATATGATCTTACATTTTTAGCTGAATGGGCTGTATCTGTCGTTTTCTTCTGGAGAAGATGTGGGTTGTTGTATCCATTGTTGGTTTCCTTGATATATTAGAAGGCTGGTTATGGGGCATTGCTGTTTGTCAGGTTCACAACAAACAAGTTTCTTTGCTCTGTATAATGTTTACTAATGGTCTTGTTTGCATTCAGGATGCTTCTGAAGCTTTATTCTTTAGAAGCGCATTCAAGAATGTCATTTTCAATGCTACTGAAGGTGTTAAAGAATCGCAGTCGGTGTCCCTCAACAAAAGTTTGGATCCTGAAGGTATCATTTATATGAAAAACCAATTGAGTGAGCAGGATCAGAGTGTTAAATCTACAAATATCTGAGATTTCGTGATGAATGTATTGCTGAAAAAGAATTGATATAGCATCATGTCTTCACATGTTAAATATATCAAATGAAGTTCTTCCTACTCTAGATGTCTAGAGTTCTCTGTCTCTCTCAGATGATTTATTTTGTGTGCTCTTATGTATTTTATAAGCAAGTTCCCAGATAAGATTATCCTTGGGGGTTGGGGCTTCTGATTTTTTTTTTCTTTTGAAAACATGCAGGTTACATGTATTTATAATAAAATGTAAAAGGGAAATAAGAAAAAAAAGAATGAATTTCTATTTTTGGAGCACCACATCAAGTTATCAGTTTTTTTGTCTTATATAATACTTTCCCTGAGCAGATATTGTTGTCCAGTTCGTAATTAGCTGCCCTCGGCTCGTATCTGGCTCTACTGTAAGTACACTTTAAAGATGTCTTTATCTTTTATAAACTATCCTTAATTGTTTTAATCAGTAACTTATTTAATTAATTCATACCTGCTTGCTGATGTCCCTCACGTCCACTGATAACGAACTTTAGGTTGTCGTCACTGGAAGTAACCCTCAATTAGGAAGATGGCAAACTCAAGATGGTCTCAAGCTGAGCTATGTTGGAGATTCCTTGTGGAAAGCAAGCTGTGCTTTACGGAAGTCTGAGTTCCCTGTAAAATATCCTTTTGCAAATGATTGTTCCCTTAATCTTTTATTGGATGTACCATACGGATGAATATTGTTTTGCCAGTATTCCTCAATGCACCATCCTTTTAGCTGTTGGCTAATATCACGTCCTTAGATTTTTTCTGAGAATGATTGTCCTTAACATCTTTTCCACATACAAATACTGTCAAATCAGTCAAGCAGGAAACTCTTCATTGGAGCTTGGTCCAAACAGGGAGGTTAATGTTGATTTATCGTCACCCAAGCAATCCAGATATATTGTGTTATCTGATGGTGCTCTCAGGGTAATGTATCCAGTAGTGTTATCTGCAGAGATGCATGGGTTCATTGCAAGAGAACTTTCTAGGAACTGCTTGACCATATTAACTAGAAACCATTGACCATGCTGTGATGCATTATAAGCAATTAATAGTATTCAGTATACATGAACATGTGCTTGACATAACAGAACCATGGAACTTCATACTTCGGCTAACAAATCAGAGAATCAGTATGCATCATACACAGCCAACATTGTGTACTAATACTTCATCTGCATTTACCAGGATGCACCATGGAGGGGTGCGGGTGTTGCTGTACCCATATTTTCAATCAGATCAGACGAGGACCTTGGCGTTGGAGAATTCCTAGATCTTAAACTTCTTGTTGACTGGGCAGTCAATTCAGGCTTCCATCTTGTTCAGCTCCTTCCAATCAACGATACTTCAGTTCATGGGATGTGGTGGGATTCTTATCCATACAGGTATGACTAATATTCAATACCAAATGTTTCCTTCTTATAATGGTGGTTTTTTCTTGAAATCAGTAAGGACATTATCTAAACAGTAGCAATGCCCCTCATGTGTAGCTCCCTCTCTGTCTTTGCATTGCACCCCTTGTACCTGAGAGTACAAGCACTTTCAGATGCAATTCCTGCGGATGTTAAGGTATACCTTTGTTATGCTTTCATATTCATTCATTGTATGTCTTGGCTGTGTTATTTTTATTTCCCTAAATGTTTGAATGAGTTGTTCCTCACCTCATTTGGTACTCAATTTAAAATATATTACAGGAAGAAATTCAGCAGGCGAAGAAGCAATTGGATAAAAAGGTTATTGCATTTGCATATTGTTGCTGATTCTTGCATCTATTTGACTAAATCTCTAATATTTAGTTACTTCCTAACTTGAAAATGATCTGTAAATTAGGACGTCGACTACGAGGCAGCATTGTCCACAAAATTGTCGATTGCTAGAAAAATATTCAATTTAGAAAAGGACAAAGTGCTAAACTCCAGTTCTTTCAAGCAGTTCTTATCTGAAAACGAGGTACATTCACTGCCATTTCATTTATCATGTGTAATCATGGTACTTGATTTCCTATTCCAAACTGTATGTGATAAGCTTTCACACTGTTCTAATAGGAATGGTTGAAACCATATGCGGCATTTTGCTTTTTGCGGGACTTTTTCGAGACATCTGACCACAGCCAATGGGGTCGGTTTTCTCAGTTTTCCAAGGAGAAGGTATTGAAAATATTATTCTGCATTTGGTACTTGAATCTTTTTAGTCGCTATAGCTTGCTAAGAACATATGTTGTTCTAATTTTTTATGAGAGCACATGTGTAATATGAGCACTAAGATGGTTTCCTTCTGTAATGTGTTTCAGCTTGACAAACTTATTTCTGAAGGTACTTTACACCATGACGTTATATGTTTTCATTACTATGTTCAGTACCATCTATATATACAAGTAAGTGTTGTCATTCTGAATTGCTCATATTATTACTCTCGTGTATATATTTTTTTGACATTATTTTTATTCGTTTTTTTAGTTATCAGAGGCAGCAACATATGCAAGAAAGAAAAAGGTTATCCTGAAAGGTGATTTACCTATTGGTGTTGATAGGAATAGTGTTGATACTTGGGTATACCCGACCTTGTTTCGCATGAATACCGCTACTGGAGCACCCCCTGATTATTTTGACAAGAATGGACAAAATTGGGGTTTTCCTACATATAACTGGGAGGAGATGTCAAAGGATAATTATGGGTGGTGGCGAGGTCGTCTGACACAGGTTATTTAGAATAACAGTCGTTGTATGTCTGATTGGTCACCTTTTCCTTTTATTATTCATATCCTACTAGCATGTTGCAGATGGCAAAGTACTTCACAGCATACAGGATAGACCACATCTTGGGTTTCTTTAGGATATGGGAGCTTCCAGATCATGCTGCAACAGGTTTAGTTGGGAAATTTAGACCTTCCATTCCTCTTAGTCAGGTTAGTTTCTGTATCTGTTGGGCAAACTAAAATGAGCCAGAGAAATCTTTCGGAGTAGTTTATCTAACTTGTTCTTGACTTCCAGGAGGAGCTTTTAAGTGAAGGTCTATGGGATTTTAATCGAATGAGCCAACCATACATTCGTCAGGAAATTCTAGAGGTTGCGCTCATAATGATGTCCGTGTTTCAGATTTTTTTTCAGTGAAATTTTAGGCCACAATCGTGAAATTTCTTTTTTTTTTTCTCAGGAGAAGTTTGGATCCTTTTGGACAGTCATTGCAGCCAATTTTCTAAATGAGTATCAGAAGCAGTGTTATGAGGTAATGCAATAATATTCTTCATAGAACATATCAGCTACTCAAGAGTAAATTGCAAATCACAATATAAATGTCTCTATTTTGTATTGTCAGTTGTGTGTACTTTTAATGCGATCTCGTTTCTAAAATATTACTAGTTACTTTGATCTCACATGTTTTTTCTTCTTTGCTTCACCTGTATAGTTTAAAGAAGATTGCAACACAGAGAAAAAGATTATTGCAAAGATTAAAACAAGTGCTGAAAATTCACTGTGGCTAGAGAAAGAAGACAGTATCCGCCGTGGCCTTTTCGATTTACTACAGGTAATTTGGGTCTTCCGTTGTGATTTAATTTCATTGTTGCTGACACACTTTATTCTCCGTGTTATGACTTCTCCTAAGATATCCAGCTCCTTTCTGACTTGGTTTAAGTACTGTTTGTTGCAGAATATTGTCCTTATCAGAGATCCAGAGGACTCCACAAAATTTTATCCCCGTTTCAACCTGGAAGATGCATCAAGTTTTAGGGACCTAGATGAACACAGGTGATGTTAATGGTTCTAAACTATAGTTCTTCTATTCTCCATTTCAAATTTGAGGGGATTTGATCTTCCCACTTGTGATTAAATTTGGTTCAGTCTACTAAATGTTAATGACATAATGTAACAGTGTATGGGCATTTGCCTATCTTACTTTGTTATCTACATCTCTTTGGGTACCCTTCTACCCAGAAAATGAAATTAGTGTATTGGTATTTTGCAGTAGACAGCTTGTTCTCAAGAAAACAAAATTAGGGTACACCACATTTTAGGCTTTGCAATGCGTTTCTAATGAATCTGTGTTCATGAAATTTCATCCTCTCATCGGACATCATTTTACAGCAAAAATGTCCTCAGAAGATTGTACTATGACTATTATTTTGCTCGCCAAGAAAATCTCTGGCGTCAAAATGCCCTGAAGACTTTGCCTGTCCTGTTGAACTCGTCAGATATGTTGGCATGTGGAGAGGACCTTGGCCTTATCCCTGCTTGTGTTCACCCTGTATGACCCCTTCTCTAGAACTGCAAAGTTGTTAACTAAGCCACTGGTTTTTACTTGACGTTAATAATAATAATGAAAACTTCTATACAGGTTATGCAAGAACTGGGGTTGATTGGACTGCGTATCCAAAGAATGCCTAGTGAACCAAACTTGGAATTTGGTATTCCTTCTCAGTATAGCTATATGACGGTGTGTTCCCATCCATTATTACAGTATTACACTCAGATAAATTGGAAATATAATGAAGAGTGTTCTGATTGAACATGACATGGAGATTCAGAGAGGCTATGTTGATTTGACGATGATCAATTTTTTATGTTTCAGGTTTGTGCTCCCTCATGTCATGATTGCTCTACATTACGTGCTTGGTGGGAAGAAGATGAAGGAAGAAGAAGTCGTTTCTACAAGACTGTAGTTGGCAGTGATGAAGAGCCCCCATCTCGTTGCACCCCGGAAGTAGTGCACTTCATTGTTCAGCAGCATTTTGACGCTCCATCAATGTGGGCAATCTTTCCACTTCAGGTGTGAAACTTGAACTTACATCATAGATCAAGGATTTCTTGCCTAAAATAAGCTGATGAGTCTACTTCGGATTTGGCATTTATCAGGACCTTCTTGCACTGAAAGACAAGTACACCACAAGACCAGCACCAGAGGAAACAATCAATGACCCCACTAACCCAAAGCACTATTGGAGATTCCGTAAGTCAATTCATCATTCCCCACCTCTTTATGAAATAAGGCATTTCAATAAGAAAATTATTTTAATGTTACTCTTGAAATGTTGCCTTCTTTTCTGGAAAAGCCTCCCATTCAATTTATTGACATGAGACGATAGCCATGTTTTAATTGTTGTATGGTCTGGTAGTCATGATCATAGATGAATTGCATGATGTAGCTGCTGCCTGAAACTTAAACAGTTCAGCATTTGTGTTTGCTACTATCTACTTAACCATTTGATCTAGGCTCATCAAGAGATGTGGCACAGTAGCTGAATTTAATATCTGGAGCATGATGCATTGCTAGCCTGTCAAATTTGAATGATTGAATAAACAATACCAAACTTTTAGGGTACCATCATTTTCATATGGGCCATTGGCATAGCTTTCTAAGCTAAAGTGGTATCTCTCAAGCTCCACATGCGATTTGCACTCCTGTTGTGAACTTAATCTGGAAAAGGCAATTCTTTTCCTTGGATCTAACTTCTCCCCAACATTTTCAGGTGTCCATGTGACGTTGGAATCTCTGTTGGATGACAAGGACATCCAAGCAACCATCAAGGACCTTGTCACAAGTAGCGGGAGGTCCTTCCCTGGAAAGAAGGTGGAAGGTGCCGACGAAAGCAGAGAGAAGCTATCTAAGGTGCAGTTGAATGGCAAAGCTTAGGAAAGGATTGCAAGAACAGCTGAAAGCGACCACGACTAGAAGTAAATAGAATAAGTCGACAGATTGCATTACCATGTCGATTTGGGTGATGTTTCTGCTAGAAAATTCTTTACCCCTGTGAAGTTCTTCCAACTCTGGAAATAAGAAGTATCATCTATCAAGTCAGCAAGTGAAATAATTCATCCAATTTTGGTTTTCATTCATAAATGTTTTTTGACGACCCAGTTATTTCTTGTTGGCGTATTTCTGCTTCAGCAAGCCATTGAAATGGCATCTTGTGCAGTTTGTGTTGTCCTAATCAACCAAAATCGGTGCGTCTGTGGTGCGTCGCATGTGAATAAATGCTACTAGTTCTTTTAGTTGTTTAATTTTATCTGTCTTTGGGAATAGATTCTGTTCCAGATTTGTGTTACACTAGAACTCGTAGTGGGGACAGTTCCATTTATTTTGGTGCTACTACTAAGCAAAAGAAAAGGTCATGGCTATGGATGGTTCTCCTCCAGCTGCTTTCCCTGAGAGCCTCTACTTTTGGAGCTTGTTTATTTATGCCAAATGCCAATTGACAAGAACATTAGGTTTTCCTTGCTATTGATGTGATGGCCCAAAGTGTTGGTTACACCAAATTCCAATTCATAAATAAACACATTATTAGCAGCAACCCCTTTAATTGATGCTGTGGTCCTGTGGGTGTGAAGGTTTCTTCCTTGATTTCCAACTGGTTGGGCACTGTCATCTGAAAGGACAGCTTGCCCCTTCGTATTAATAGCATTGAAAAGGGTAAGCAACTGAACAAATGGACTTTGCCAGCTTCCCTGGCTCACAGTCACAGGTCAATCTTCTTCTAGAATCTAGTCTCTAAATAATTTTTTTCTCTCCGGTAAGAAGTCTAAAAGATCTTTTTTCTTTTCTTTTGGCGACGGTAATGAAGTCTAAAGTCTTTATTTTTCTTTCGGCCACAAGTCTAAAGCAGAGATATTTGAAGTTGAATGGGAATTGAAGGGGCAAAATGGACTTGCCATTCGCAATCAGTACTAATCTGTATCTTGCAATCTCCATGAAGTCTCGTGGTGGTACAAGTACAATGCAGCACATGTGTATGCTGCCCTGAAAAGCTCCGAAAGGGCCTGGGCAGCTGATTACCTCGCTGAAACTGCACAGATGCAACTGCAAAAATAAAAAATAAGAAGTTTATAATAAACCACACCTCTCGTGTGCTTTGCCTCCTTTAACGACGTCGCTTTACAACACCAAACCCATTGTGTAATATAATCACTTAATCAGTGGTTACAATTTCCACCTCTATCTTTTTTTTTGTACTACTGTTTTTTTTTTTTGGAGCAGACAGAGTCATTTGACACTGACAGCACCGACCTTGGAGTCTCTGACAGCAGTAACTGACTGCATTCATCAAGTAACTGAAAACGAAGATCATCTTGGAAGGCACCGCTTGTTTGCTCTTGCAGGCCCTGTCTGTATTCCTCCTCGGTGCCAAATAAAATTCGGTGGCAACACCACCACTGACTTTGGAGTTGGACGAGGAGGAAAGCGAGTTCCTCTTGTCTGCCACCACTCTCTCTCTCTCTAGAGGCAGTTGATGTTGGCATCCACTGCTTTTCTCAGAAAAAGTTCACCTTTTTCTTCTTCCATCTGTTCACTCATTCACTAAGATCGAGCATGATCACGTTCTAGATTCTGGAATAATGAATGAATGTCGCAATTCTCATGGTTTAGGTTGAAGGTTGAATTAAGAGCAAAGTAAGCATCCTACCTCACCAACTAAACCATCAGTTTCTTCAGAATTCATATCATCATCATGTATGCTGCCGGTCAACGTTACAAGGAGCCCAAGAATTTCTAAAATATTCGCTGTACAAAGAAGACCAAGAGGGTAAAAAAAAAACATACTACATCCGTGTGTGTCGGCACGGCGATTTTGGCCTTTGCCGTCGTCGTGTATCTTGTGTTGTGAGCATGGGATTGCGATGAACTCGGATGCATGTCAAGGGGGTGAGTGGGTTCATGGGTACCCGGAGGCGAGGCAGTCCTCCCAGAACTTGCGGTCCTCCTCCTGCCGCTCCGCCGCGCGCTTCGGGTCCTCGGCGGCCTCCGGCGCCCGTGGGAGAGAAAGCGCCGTGATCGCGCCGCCGCCCGCCATCTGCTCCCACCAGGCGCCGCTCCCCCTCCCCGCCTTGTTTCTCCCCTCCCCCTCCTCGTCGCAGGCAGCTTCCTCTTGTTCTTGGTAGCTGCTGTACTCGTCTCCCTCCACGCAGCTGCTGCACCCGTCGTCGTCCATCTCCGCCTCGTCGTCTTCGTGGCAGCACGCGCTGCTGCCGCAAGAGGAGAAGGAAGAGGAGCAGGAGTCGGTCGCCGCCGCACCCGCGCCGTGCGGGCGCGGGTGCGGGCACGACTCCGCGACGCTCTCGCTGTCGCTGTCCTCAATGTCGTCGTCGGCCACGGCGTCGTCGACACGGGGCCTCGGGAGCAGCGCCAACGGCGGCGGCGGCGGGTGCACGGCGGAAGCCATGGCGTGGGACGGGCGCGGGGCGCGCACGCGGACTGCGGAGCGGTGACCGTGGCGAGAGCGGCATGGACAGACACCGCCAGTATTTATAACTGACCACGCGCCGAATTCGCCAAGCGGACGACGACTGGAAAATCCTTTTTATTTATTTATTTTGGAATGTGAAAAAAGAACGACTACAAAATCCTACTGCCGCAGATACGTATAACTAGGAGCTTTATCAAAGCGATCAAATCTCCTCTTGTCTTCTCCGTCTACGCCTAAAAAGACTCAAACATCATCATCTATACGGTGATATCAGTCTTGATCTCTGCTCACGCATCCGTATCCATACGAATCATCTTTCACTCAGAGCTCACATATCCACGTCCTACCGAGTTCCGATACGAAGACTGAATTCACATGTCCGTGTCCGATATGAAGTCTCCAGAGCTCATGCGTCCACATCCGCATTCTCATCCAATGAGGTTCAGTTAAAAAATCATACTAGACGCAATGCACGTGTGCATATATATAGTATATTATGATCTACCAGGTTCCATATGAATTTATATCTAATTGAACTTCTCATAAATTATTAAACGGCAAGAGTGATAGGTATTAGCTGTAATAACACAACTGTTTACTCACTTACTCACAATTTAAATTAGTTATGAGCAATTGGTTAGGTTTCTTATGGGTACAACTTTTGTGCCCATCAAGATAGATTCGCCACGTGTGCTTGCAATTATTTAAAAGTTACTCAATCCATCCTAAATTGTAAGGCGTTTGATTTTTTTGACACCAAGTTTGATCACTCGTCTTATTCAAAAATTTGTGTAAAATATCACTTCTTTCGTCATGGTTTGGTTTATTAATATTCTTCAAGAATGACTTAAATTTGACTATATTTGCACAAATTTTTTGAATAAGACAAGTGATCAAACTTGGGGTCAAAAAAGTCAAACGTCTTACCATTTGGGATGGAGGAAGTATATTCCAAGAAGCAAAAGGCGCTATCACACTGTACAGCTGGAGTAGGTATGTAGCATCAATTAGCAGAAGTTTCAGAGAGAGAACGTACTATCACAGCAAGAAACACTCACCTAACCTCGAAATTTTCATGTGAAAGTTGAGGATCGGTCGGAGTGCAGACCACGACGTACGATCGCTGAAACATGGAGGCGATGTGATGTTTAGAATGATTCTATTCTACGTGTTCTAGAAACGGTAGTTTGACTATAGCCTATAGGTCGATTTTGTTGCAAAAGGTCACGCGGTATTTGTTGGGAGAAAGTGGCATGAATCGTCCCACACTCCAAAGCGCCAAAAAAGAAAATAAAAAGAAATATATAAATATAATCGTGTGGAAGTGATAGCTCTGTATCTCTACAGAATTCATGCTCGCGCACGTGTTTTAGCTTTACTCCCTCGTGTCACATAAAAAAATATATTTCCTTAAAAAAACCTCGCTCTTTATTAGGAACAAGGTAAAGTCAAACTTTGTAAACTATGGATAAAAAAAGACTCACCGTTTATATTTCCTTAAAAAAATCTCGCGCTTTATAAGGACAAGGTTTAGTCAAACTTTGTAAACTATAGATAGACATCAATAAAAATTAAAATTATTTAGACTTGTACTTTAAAATATTTGTGACGCCCCTAGGGTGGGTCTGAGCGTTCATGTACAACTCTTTTGATCTCCTAGGGCATCGTTAAAACGTGTTGTATTAAACTTTTTCTCTAGCTAAATACAAAGACGTGCAAACTTTTTTACGTGATCGAGAACAAAAATATTTGTGAAATACTTTAGATTCAAAGGATTTATTTTTTTCGAAAACATTGGTCAAAGATATACAACCATGCAAAATCAAATTTGTCAAATGTTTCTGATAAAGGTACATAGTAATTTTTATTTCCTCAAGAGAAGTAGGACGACAAAAATCAATTGATAAGGGTCCATATATTTAAGACAAGCATAGAGGAATTTTTGTTTCTATTTTATAGTGTTTCAAAACAAGAAACAAATTTATTGTAGAAGCATAATAAGGCGGCTGAAGTAGTGAACCTAATTGTGTTTTTGTTCAATATGTATTAACCAAAATCTATTCAAATAGAGGAGTGCGAAGCAGGGTACGGCGCAGTGGCGAAGCAAGAGCTAAAATGGAAGGGGACAGCTAGGGTGCATCTGCCTCTTGTGTGTGCATATTTTTTTTCTTGAACAAAGGGGGGGGGGGTATAATATGGTGAAAATTTTGATCATGAGCACGTACGGCTGGGTAATTTGAAGATAACCTGCACCTTTATTTGGCCCTGGCTCGGCGCACATACGCGGATGGTGGCTTGGTTTTTTGCGAGTTTGAGATGGAACTTCAAATCTACAATCCAAATTAACATAAAATTGATTGATATGATTTCCAATCCAAACATAAAATTGGTTTGGCGCCGTTGTAAAAAGTTATCTTGACGGCTTGACGTATACTGGTCTCGGCTTCTTTAATTATCATCTGCCTCTTGTGTGATTAATGTTTATTAATTTCTTGTGAAAGAAAGAAAGAAATAAAAAAAACTGGTTTGTTTTACGTGGGTTTGGAATTAACATGTAGATCTAGAGGCAAGCAAGGCACACAAAGCACCAGATTGCAAAAAGGCAACAAAAAAAAAGATTTTGTCAAAAGCAAAGCAGAGAAGAAAAGAAAAGCTAACGACCGGCGGCACTAGGGCCGGGCCAGACCTGCTAGCTGACCAGCTAACTGTGCGTGTCTGCGCCAGCTTTGATCTAGAAGCGCTGACCCAACCCAGTGGAAGAGAGGCCGGCGAGGTAGCACCCCTTCTAGAAGGTAGCCTTTTTAATTTGTCATCAGCTGGCTATAGTGGTTGCATGCACGCGCCGCGTACGTCTGTGTGGATGTCCCTTTCGACGACTCCATAAGTTAGGCCACATTTAGTTCGCGAAAATTTTTAGATTTTGCGACTTTAGTATTTTTATTTGTATTTGGCAACTAGTGTTTAATCATGGACTAATTAGGTTCGAAAGTTTTGTCTCGCGATTTCTCACCTAATTGTGCAATTAGTTTTTTTTTCGCTACATTTAATGCTCCATGCATACGTCCAAAGATTCAATGTAATGGACAAAAACCAAAATTTTTTGGAACTAAATGTGGCCTTATGCGTATTTTCTTCTATGACCAACTTGTGAAGGGCTTTAGAGACGGTCTCCAATAAGACTCAAACCTAAATTAGGTAACAGAGATTTAAAATTAGCCTCAGCAAACTATCTATATGAAAGATCCATTTTAAGTTGTCTGATAACTATAACTTAAATATAAGCATCCTCTCTCTAAAAATCTATTTATAGAAAGAATTTTTTTAGTTCTCTTCTCGGAGAAGACGCTGAATGAGTATTCTAACACTTTGCCTGTAGGTGATGGATATGGGTCGCCACAGTCCCTTCCCTCGTAGTACTGCGTGCGTACGTACAGGTACAGGCCGGGGACGCCGCTCCACCGCCGCCGTTTCTTGGCCGCTGGCCTGCCGCCGATTTTTTCAATGTCCTCCTCTCAATGCCCTCCTCTTCAAGACGTAACGTACGTAGTCTGGCTACTGCACACGGTACTAGCTAGCTACCTCGATGTAGAACCTAAGTTTTGTTGGACTGGCTGGAAAAATAGCTTATGCTGATATTGATGCTGATTTATTGTGAGAGAAAAATACCATTATTTCACTGAAATGGTACGGCTGATAAATTCAAGCGAACAGGGCGCTAATTAGGCACCGAACAACATAGTAATTTGCATTAGAAAGCACCCAACAAGAAATTATGTTCAAATAGAGAGATGTATAAATGCACAAAATAAATAATGCCAAAACATTCACCGAATAAACCATGAAATTTCGGTTAACTAACCGTTTCTTGATTAAATCAGTTTCGGCGATATTTTATCGGCCCCTATACTTCCTAGCTTTACATTCTTAATCAAGGTGTCGGATACCATAAAAAGGGGTACCCTAAGCCATAACCGAAAAAAATTGCTTAGACCTTGTAAATAACGAAACCAAAATACAACCGCAGACAAACCCGCCACATCCGAAGCCCGGCTGGATCGTCCGGCCCACCTCAAACAACATCCAGGCACGACCGAAGCAGGCTCGGCCTAGATCCGTACCACGAGGCCTCGGACGAGCCACCGATTCTCCGACTCGCTCGAGGCCCCGCACCACGAGGCCTCGGACGAGCCACCGATTCTCCGACTCGCCCGAGGCCCCACGCTACGAGGCCTCGGACGAGCACCCAGTTACCAACTCGCTCGAGGCCGGCTCGGCATCAGCCCCGTCATCGCGCTTTGACCGACTTCTCTGACGGGACGTCACATCTAACTAAAGCGTTCAACCACTCCCATGACGTCAGCCGCACGACGGCACGGTACAGCGGAGTGGCCGACGAGACGGAAGTCACATCAACGCCCTGCCATCCAGGACAGGATGGGGCGGGGGTTACCGGACGCTGTGCCCGGCACTATGCCCACGGCTGACGCCCGTGCTACGCTGTGCTGCCTAACCCTTGCTCCAAGGACAGCGCGGCGTGGAAAGTCATGCCCAGGTCCCTGTAGCCTCGGAATCGACATACAACTCCGAGCCTCGGCCAACCGCTCTCTCCGAGCCTCGGCCAACCGCTTGCGCCCGTCGAGCCCCCCACAATGGTTCAGCCTCTACACCGACTGGGCCTCGGCTCCCTCTGTCGACGACGCACTGGGACCGACACGTCGCCCGCAGTACGCGCCATGCCCTGCGTCGGGCTGCAGGAGCTCCCACGTCGTGCATAGGGCCTAGCTCCTGTAGCCTCGGAATCAGCATACCCGCGCCATCGCATCAACCCGGTCTCGGCACTCCGCGCCGGTCAAACATACAGTGACTAGCACGCCTCCAATAAAAAGAAGGTGCGCCTGCCACCACAGGAGCTCCCACGTCGCACAGGATCAGGTGTGACCGGTGCGTCGCTCCAGTGCACGAAGGACAAGACCGCT